AAAAAAAGTTGAAATAAAGTGATTAAACAAAAATTATTACAAATATCGTAAATAACAGTTCACAAATGCATATATAGAGATATTTTTTGAAATAGGGGGAAATGGTCTTCACAATTTGAAATCGATCGAACACACTGTCTCGATACACTCGTATAAACGCGCGCCATCTATCGTGGGTTAAATGTACTATGCCAGAAACCTTTGCGGGAGTGTATTAAAAAACTTTCCTAAGTTTTATGGCAATCATACTATGCCACAAACCTGCGCGAGAGTATATTAAACAACTTCCCAAAGTTTCATGGCAATCGGATAAACGGTGTGGTAATGCATGAAGGACATAAGACAGACACACAGACATACATTCATTTTTATATATATAGATACACTATAAAATAGCATTCATATGCATATTGATGTTTGGACTAGGTGGTATGTTGTTTATAATATTGCATTATTTAGAAAAATAGAAATGGATTTGGGAGAAAAGATGAATATAAGATAAATATTGGAAGAAGAAATTATTGAATCTTTTACTTTTGATGATGATGAATTATATGAAGACTATGTAGAAGAAAGTGAACATACGAGGGATGTTCGAAAAGTATCGGACCTTTGGTCGGCAAAAATACATTTATTGATTTTGAGGTACAAAACCCTAATTCCCTTCAAAGTAGTCTCCTTGGTAATGTCACTAATTCCCTAATTCCCTTCAAAGTAGTCTCCTTGGTAATACACTTCTCCCAGCACTCCTGCCATTGCTGGAAACACTGCTGGAATGCATCTTTTGGAATGGCCACCAGCCGGTCTGTCACATTCCGCATAATGTCTTCTTTTGACTAAAATCGGGTTTCTTTTAGCGGCATTTTCAGCTTAGGAAATAGCCAAAAGTCACATGGAGCCATGTCAGGAGAGTGCAGAGCATGACGAACCACAGGAATGTTGTGTTTGGCAACAAAGGTCCGAATCAGATGCGTAGAATGGGGGATGTGTTATCATGACGGAGCTGCCAAGTTTTGGTTGACCACAGATCCGGTCGTTTGCATCGCACAGCATCACAAAGATGATGAAGGACCTCCTGGTAGTACTCCTTTGAATGGTTTGGCGTTGTGGTGCATACTCACAATACACCACCTCACGGGAGTCGAAAAAAACTGTCAACATGACCTTGACATTTCTGCAGACCTGCTGCGCTTTTTTTGGCCTCGAGGATCATCCCTGAAAGCCTGCTGAATCTTACGAATGGTTTCCACTTGAGTATCGCCAAACTTTTGGCAAAATTTGATGCAATATCGTTGCTCATGTTGTTCAGTCATTTTCCATCTTAGTGGAATCCGACGAGCATTCACTACACATCCTCACTTATAGGTCGACTGCCAGCGACTGATGCTTCCTGCAGGCGGGAAAAAATTCAGGACTGTGCATGACTGTCCCCTCCACAACTCCTTCGAAAGAGACCTCCCGTGCATCATTGGTTTACATGAGAAAAATAAAGGTTTGATACTTTTTGAACACCCTTCGTATACTAGCAGTTATGGAAATTGTATTACCTATGATATATACCAAAAAGCATTCAACAGATGTCAACGCTGTCCATGGGACCAGTGTCCGTTGGAGTCTGATGCCATTTTCAATATCCTTTTCCATCCCTCTATCTAGGTCACAGTGAACCAGCTTCTGAATACTATTTTATATACCATTCTTTTACATCATCCATCCACTCCTATGTGGCCTGCCTCTTTTATTTGTCCCCTCCATGATTCCAAGTGTTATTGTTTTAATTGCTCTCTTGTCACTCATTCTACAGATGTGACCAAAGATGCCAACTTTCTTTTGGATGACCCATTAGAATAGCATTTTTGCAGGTTGGATTCTTTTATTGACTTCGTCATTTGTGACCTTATCATGCCAATCTACTCTGAGTAACTTCCTATAACATTTTCTTTCAAAGGCATCTAGTCGTCTTCTGGCTTTCTTGTGTAAAACCATGCCTCACAGCCATAGAGTATGCCACTAAAGATGCATGAGTCCAGAATTTTTTATTTTGTTTTTATTGTGATGTTTTGACTTTCCCAAGCTTTATCCAAGAGATTTTCTCTGCAAAATCTGAGATTTCACAGATCCTTTGGCTACTCTTGTTTTTGTTTCTTCAAGATAGTCTAGATTTTCAGTCAGCTTTCTTTTCAGGTATATAAATTCTGTAGCCTTTTCAATTCTTGTTCATTTATCTTGATTTTGTCTTCCAAATATCATCGTCTTGGTCTTTTCTAAGTTCATATGCAGTCTATATCTTATGCATTCTACATTTAAGTTGTTAAATGTGTTTTCCAGATTAGTTGCATTTTCTTTAAAAATTACAGTATTATCTGCAAATCTAAGGTTGTTGATTCTTTGACCATGCATAGGTATGCCTTTGATATCACTTGTGAAGCATTCCATTGCCCTTTCTAGCAGAGTTATGAATAAAAGTTGTGACTTCAAGTCTTCCTATTTGGTACTTTTCTTTGTTTTAAACCATGTTCCAAGACTTCCAAAATTTTTCACTGCTGCCTATGCATTCTCATTAATGTCCTGTAGAAGAGTTATTATTTTTTTGTTCACTCCAAAAGATTCAAACACTACACATATTGCCTTTTGGTCTATGGAGTCTAATGCTTTTTTGAAATCAATAAAGCAGGCATATATCAACAGATGTACAAAGTAATATATTTAAGCATGATTGCAATTTGTAATAACATATAAGTTACAGAGAAGAAAGCAAGAAGAATAAACCAAAAAAATGCAACTTATTACATATAAGGCTACATTGAACTTATTTCACACCAGAGCCTCACCAATACAGTTAATGATGCTCTCATTACTGGATGTTTTTTCTTGTTATGAAAGCAAAAAAACATCCAGCAATGAGAGTTGCATAACTTTTTGGCTGTTATGAGTTTTTATTTTTAAAAAACTTTTCATATTTTTAATTACTATAAAATGGTAAAAAGCTTAATTTTGAAAGTAGGGATGAGTTTTATGAAAAGGTGTAAATGTTAATGATACATGATCTCCTCCTATCGCCCCACCCTTTCTACCTTTAACCATAAAAATTTAATAGCATCAATGCCCCTCATATGCAAGCTACCGTGCCAAATTTCATTTCTTAATCTACACTATTCTGAGATATTAAGCAAACTAGATGTCAACACGTACAAGTGAATTTTTTTTTCTTTTTATTCAGGAGGTCTTAAAACAAGGGTGGCCAACATGAGGCCCGCGGGCCGCATGCGGCCCGCCTGGAGTCGTGTTGTGGCCCGCGGAGCTTGGTCAAATGAACGTAAATGTTAACTTTATTGTACATATCACCAAATGAACATTAGAAGAATTCTATGAACGTATTTGGACAAGGATAAATATCCTGCGTTTTACAAACATGCTCTGTCGATGGTTTCGCTATTTAGAAACACTTATGCATGTGAACAACTTTTTAGTCGCATGAAGTACATCAAATCACAAGTGAGAACACGAATTACTGATGTTCATTTGGAAAACTGTTTGCGTGTAGCGACAACATTAGTCGAGATCAATTTTGATGCACTTAGTTCTTTAAAACAAAGTCAGATGTCTCATTTTAAAATATTTTTTATTTGTCTAATAAATATGTTTCTCGGTTATTGAATAAGTGATTCTCAATTATGTTTAATTTTCTTCAAAAAAAAAATATATACCTATTTTTTTGTGTTTATTTACATTAAACCAGGCAAGTGTTTGACCACGATCTCACCTACTGGAAAGCAACGATGTGGTTGAAGCTGTAGCACGCTTGCTTGTTTACTTAAATTAACAAAAAAAAAATTAGGTGCGTGGCCCGGCAGGAAATATTATTTCTGAAATTTGGCCCGCCTGCTAAAAAGGTTGGCCACCCCTGTCTTAAAACATGAAGATTTGCAAAAAAAAAAAAAAACTGGGGGGTCAAATTTGACACTATTTGATACTTGTTATGTACACATAAACAGCTGGGAAAGTAAAAGGGGATTCACAGCTTATCTAGGCCTAAAAAATATAATATGAACAATATTTCAACAGTCAATGGAATGCATTCTCCTGTTTATGATGTCATGGTTAATGCAATCATTAGAGTTTCTTTCATGTCTGCAGCAAAATTATACTTTAATTTAAAAAATAATCACATTTAAAAATAAGATTTTATGAGTGATGCAATATCAATAGCAGCACTGTGATTTGGATATCAAAGACTCAATGGATTTAAATAAACATTCAGAAACAATAGAAAATTCTAAAATTTGCATAATATATAGATAAAGATTTGGCTACAGTATGGAAAAAGATGCTTCAAGATCAAAATATAAGTGAAAACTTTTTATTAAAAGTTTATTAATATTAACTTATACAAATGTTTATACAAAGCCCAGCATTATGAAAGTAGATACACTAGTTTATGCTAGTACACATAAAAAGCTCAGGTTGCTAAATTCATAATTGATTATTTGAATATTTTGATCTTTGAAGATATGATGTACAAAATTGTGACACCTACAATTTTTCAGTTTTTAATTATTAAAACTATAATAAATGTAGAAAATGTTTGTATCCAGATGTGTATCAAATCTGTGATTTTTATGAAAAAACAAAAAGTCAATAGGACAAATTCAATGTTACAATTACAAAAACCTTTAATGGATAATAAAAGCATCATTTATAAAGTTAAAAAGTATTACATTTAATAAGATTCTATTAAAATTCCATTAAAATTTGGGAATGCCTTGATGTATACTAGTTTTAAAAATATTGTAATTAAAAATGAAGGCACAGAAATTGTTTCAAATTTCAGTTATATTAAGCATTTATTAAAACTTCAAAAAATGCAGGAAACAATATGAAGTTTTTTAATATATATTATCTAATTTTAAATTATATTAGTTATGGATTCATTTGTCAGGTTATTGGGCTGCAATTTGAAAAAATTGTAGACCTATAAATTCTCACTGTCATCCATTCATCTGTTTGTCTTTCCTTAATCTCAAGAATGGACTTAGATGAAAGACAAGACCAGATATGGAAATCTTAGGGGCAGGAGGCCTCAATTAACTATATATGAACTTCCAATGCAAACCGGAAGTTATTTCAATTCAAAAATTTCCCCTGAAAGGTGTTAGATAGATAACCGGCACAACAGTTAAAGGAAAAGTATGATGTACAGGGACACACCATTACTAATTTGAAATGGAGAGTATATATTTTAAATTAAATTAATTAAAAATATGATTAAAAATTGCAGCCCAGCATTGTGACAATGTCACAATAAATAACTGCTTGTATATCTATCAGAATAAAATTGATATATTAATCAATATTTTTCAAAAAATCAATATATTAATTTATACTTTTGACTATTTTAGGTTTTGGGTACACCAACAGAAGAAACTTGGGAGGGTGTATCACGCTTTCCTAATTATAAACCAGGTATGTCAAGTTGAATTATTTAAAGTTTTCTTCTATCAATTTTATAATTTCAAATTGACTAAATATTTAATTTTCTAAGAATTTAATAAGGATAATTTTAATTATTAAAACAATATTTTAAATTATTGTTTAAAATTTAACTGATATACATCAAAAGATTGTATTGTTATTGCAATTTCACTTTTACATGTGAAAATGTGTTAAATTTAATATTTTTTCATCTCATGTATTGAACTATAACATGAGAAAAGCTGGAATTCTTAGTATAAACATGCATTTCACTGATTTAAATTGCATAACTAGCAGAAAAATTTTGTGAAAGTAACATAGATAGCAAGTATTGTGGACAGTATATAAAAATATAAAACAATAATTTAACAAATTGCAAAAATCGTAAATTGTTTTATGAAGGATATCAAAATCAGAAATGCTTTTATAAAGTTTATTCAATATTTTTAGTGTTGTTAAAATAAAAATTTTTAAATACAAGATTTTATGAAATTAAACTTTTATATATCACAAAAGAAAAAAAAAACATTTTGTATATGAAAAAATTTGATACACAAAGCATAGTTTGTCAGTCTATTTTGAATAAGTATTCTTTTGATTTTTATACATATATGTAATATTTATTTTTTAATTTGTTTTTGTTGTTAATTTTTTCATTTTTATCCCTAAAATAGTAATATTGTGTAATGTCTACTGGATAGATTGTCTTACTTTTGTCATATCGTATTGACAAATATAAAGATTTGTAAAAAATGAATAAAGCTGTTATCTTATTATTTGGAATTTAAGACCTTTTGAAGTTATTTAATTTTCTTAGTTTGTCTTTTATTATATAAATATTTATAATGAATTCTGTATATGCACAGTGATAGCATTACAGTATATAACTTGCATGTAATTAATGTAAAAAGATACAGTATTAAATAAAGTGGATATGATAACAGTCTGCTGTCTTAAAATATCACTTCATTGTGAGTTGAATAAAAAAAAAAAAAAAAAAGACATAATTTCAACGAAAAGAAGAAATATAAATAATTGTTAAAATCAATTGATATTGAATACAGATACATAGAATATCATAGACTATTGAACAGTACAAAATATATACTGTATATTTTATTTTTGAGTTGTAATTATTTTGAGGGCATTCCAAATAAGTACAGTATGGTCTAATTTTATTCAAAGGTTGCATTTCAGTAGATTTCACATAAAACAAAATTCCACATATATTTGTATTCTATCTCAAGTAGTCCTAGATGACTTCCTAAATATTTATGCAACTATTTACAATTAATAGAAAAACATTAAAATGTATTTGACTTCACAATTCCATTGTGATTTCAGTTTTGTTTCATAGTGCCAAAAGTTTGTTTTATGCAACTTGCACACTATACACAATTTTCTTTTATTCATGCATTAGAACATACTATTTTTATTTTCATTTTGATATTTTTTTTTTCCTTGGAGATAGACTATAGAAAATTGCTTATACAGTTACTTTTATTACAATGAATTTTTAGAATTGTTAAATTTCCCCTCTGCAACCAAAGGTTAACCAAACCATTCATCATCTATTAGTGTTTAATAGATGGTTTGTTTGATTAGTTATTTCCTGTTCTTAAATAAATTCAAACTGGTAATATTTAAGTCTACATGAGATATATTTGAACAACAGGATGGCTGAAGCATTTAAGATGCCAGCCATCCATTCTGGGGTTCCAAGATCAAATTTGGATGAGTAATTTTTTTATGAATGGTTTGTCTGATTTATCCAATAAATCCCTCACCACTCAGTTGCCTAGTTGTGAGCCTGGCAAAATCCATGATGGGTATGAAAAAAAGACCCTCTTTTGTATCCACATGAAAGAAAGAGTAAAAAATATATATAATGACAAATGAAAAAATAAAATGTTAAGTTGAATTAATAAAAGAAATTATGATGTATTCTGTTTGTCTTAGAGTAGTAAATATTACAAGGTATGAAGAACTTAGTTTTCAAATTTTCATTTTCAAATGGTATTTCTATCTGCATAATATTGTATTTGCAGAATTATTATACATATGCTTATATGCAATATTTAAGAACTAGTCTGCTCATTGTGTTTGTGTACCCTGATGTGTTCCCAACACATGTTAGGTGAGAATAACCCAAACTACTATTAGGCAAATTGACCATCTTTCTTCTCTGTCTGATGATGTGATCTTTTGTCAAACTGTGTCAGCTGTGTGTAGTATCTTTTACTGTATTGTACAGGCATATGTAGCTTTTAAATACCTTCAGATGTAAATTGAAAATTCTGAACACTATGCTTCTGCAAGTCTTTTCATAGGATACTCAGGTAGCAATTTTAATAGTCTTTAATAAGATGTTTTGGTGTCAATTAGACCATAACTGTATTATTTACATACCTGTGTGAGACATAACTGTATGTTTAGTTTAAGACATTTTGAAGATATTTAATTTTCTTAGTTTGTCTTTTATTATATAAATATTTATAATGAATTCTGTATATGCACAGTGATAGCATTATATAACTTGTGTATAATGAATGTAAAAAGATACAGTATTAAATAAAGTGGATATGATAACAGTCTGCTGTCTTAAAATATCACTTCATTGTGAGTTGAATAAAAAAAAAACAAAAGACACAATTTCAACAAAAAGAAGAAATATTTGTTAAAATCAGTAGATCTATATGATTATGTAGTTTTTGTGTGGTTATAACTTTTTTGTGAATGGATGTATTTTCATATTTTTGTTTATGGAATAAAAATTTAGTTAAGTTTATCAACAAATTTTGATTATTGTTTTATTATTTTGACATTTATCAAATTCTTTTTAATACTCAAAATTCAATTATTTCTTTCTTTTCTAAAAATAATTAACTGTATTTTGTGAAAATTTATTATTCGATAATTTCTGACTGCTTATCATGTTGTTACAGTAAATGTAAAATATTTATTCTAAACTAAAGAGAATCACTATTTCTTTTGCATAGTTTTATTAGATGTTAATTTTGATATTAAAACTAAGTTTAAAAAATGAATTATTACAAATCTAATTATTTCAAATTTAAGAATTTCTAATGATAATTTTATTGAACATAATGTCAATGAAATAAAAATGAAAATTTAGCAGTTAGAAATCTGAAATAAAAATCAGTAGTATTACTGTATTTCCAAAGGTTTCCTTATCCTGTTGGCTATTGCTGATATTATGACACCATTATCATATCATATTATTTATCTACTATCTGATTTTGCTTGTCCTTAAAGACTATAATTCAAGGAAGAGCATATTATATAAAATTAAAATATTTTAAATTTAACAAATGAAAATACAATTTTTATATCAAAATCAATATTTAAATTGTCTTTGAATAAGAAAAATATAAATTAAATATAGTGAAACCTGGTTAACTCGAATCAGTCAGAAAAAATTTGGACTTTGAGTTAAAAAGTTATGAATAATTTGAGTTAACGAATTTGATTTAACTTGTTATGCTAGATGATTGAATTTGGGAAAGAAAATGACTTTGAGTTAACCGGTTCCAATGTAATGATGTAGTTCTCTATTATTTAGAACTATTTTTGATTAGAAATTTATTCAACGGGAATTGTTTTTTCAAACGTACAGAATGATTTTAAGAAAACTATTTTTTGTCGAATAATTTTTTTAATGTCATATTTTTTAAGTAAAGAAACTAAATCAGGAAATTAGATTATGATAAAGCTGAACTTATAGTATAATTCTTAACTAAAAAATTATACAGTGGTACCTTAGGATACAAACGCCCCAGCATATGAAATTTTCAGGATACAAAGGATGAAATTTGAACATAATTTTGCTCCACAGTACAAACAAAAACTCACCATATGATGTTACATTTATTTGCAGCGCCGTTTTTTATTCACTTCTGTTCATTGGTCTCAGTCCGCGTGTTTGCTTCATCGTGGAAGGATCTCACTCAATAAAGGAAATCTTGAGGTATTATCAGAAAGTGACTGATTTTATTGAAAAGAAACATCCTGAAAAGGTTCACACTGACTGTATTGCTGCTCAAAGTAATGACATTTGCTTAAGTCATTTTAGAAACATTTTAAAAAGTAGGCAAAGCCAAACCTCTTTGGATAGATATTTTACCAAGCGACTTCTATCTAGTGAAAGTGCTGGTGGAAGTGAAGGAAAGAAAGCAAAAAGCAGTGAATAAAAATTTAAAAAAAAAAAAAATATATATATATATATAAAACAACACTAATTTTTTTATCTTTTCTAAGTTATTTTTAAGTTATTGTTACATTATGTTATGTAAGTTAAGTTTTAGTATCATTTCCCTTCTCCCTCTCCTCCGCCACCAGTTTACACCTCCACCATCGTCTATCTTCAAAGGTAAAGTGTAAATAAAACTACATTTTTTTAAATTAATTATTATTCTATTATGTTAATTATACATTTACAACTACAAAATGCATTTTTCGGTGTTTTCCTTACTATAGTTTTTTTTTTTTTTTAATGTACTACTTAGCTTTAATTGAAGTGTGTTTTTCGTGTTGGAACGAATTATTTGGTTTTACATGTAATCGTATGGGAAAAAATGATTCACCTTACGACATTTTCATGATACAATCTCAGTTTCAGAACGGATTAATTTCGTATCCTGGGGTACCACTGTAATTTTAAGTTAGTAAAATATTATAAAATTTATGATATAAAAAAGTAAGTAATTTTCTAAAAATTAATAATGTAAGCAAGATTTAAGAGAATTTTAATTTTGTTAACATTTAAAGATGAAAACTAATTGCAGATAATTTATTTATATATATTAAATTTTCTTTGGTCTTTTGATAAAAAGTTAAAGAAAATAAAACATAAAAAAATTATTTCATTCATTTTTGGTAAAAACAAGAATGAATAAGATTAACCTTTAATAATGGAAAGAAAAATAATTAAAATTTTTATATATAAAATTTGGATAATGTTTTTATAAGAT